TCTATTTAAAAAAATAAAACTAAACATACAGACCTGAGTTTACTTGCTACCCTTTTCAAGGCATACTGGACTATGTTGTGGCCCACATTCTCTCTGTGTGTGTGTGTGTGTGTGTGTGTGTGTGTGTGTGTGTGTGTGTGTGGTGGTATGAAACTCGTGACTCAATTGACCCGAGCTTATTTCCAATGGAATCAGATGAGCGAAAATAATCAGATGAGTGAAAATAAATAACCCTGACCGCTAGCTATCCGTGGGGCCGGTCAGTTATGGAAGATGACATCTTGCCTTTGTTTTTCTTGCCTTTTTATTCTTCACTCCGCTCACTAAGAGCTCTACTCTTCTCTCAAGTTCGGTGGAGACGATGACAAATCAAAGCCGTCGCCCTTTACGGGAAAAAAAAGAAAAGACACCAACGGGCCTAGCTCAGTTGGTACACCCCCCCTGAACTGTTGAAATACAGACTCAAGTTCGAATCCAGACACCTTCAGGAGCGAGGTCCCACTAGCAAAGGGGATTGGATAAATATCCTGAATCTGGACGTGTTTTAAGCGGACATGCAGAAATGCAGTCCAATCTCGACATTCTGCACCTTTCCACAAACACATACAGATTCAGGCATTCGATCCGATCCTCTGTGCTAGTGGGACCACGCCCCAGATGACGAGAATAACATCCTCCTCCTGAATTGCCTGGCGCGGGCCGGTCCGTTTCACATTCTGAATTGCCTAAAGGGAAATTAAAAACAAGAAAGAAGAAGGAAGAAGGACGAAGAAGCGTGACAAGCAATGGATAAAAGGAGGAGAAGAAGATCTTGTCCGCCGAAAGAACAAGCAGAACAAGAAGAATAGTGATTAAAAAAAAAAACACGAGTGACACGCAAAAGGGTCAGAGCTGCCTTCCATCCACGCTCTCCCAGAAAAAGCAGTTTTACATCAAATTTCCGCCGCATGTACAAGTCTCTATCTGTACCACGCGCACGATCCCCGTCGCGCGCACCAGGCGCTCCTCCCCTGGGGACTTCACCGTCACATCCCTGCCTTGGGACTCCCACCTCCCAACTCCACCTCCCTGCCTTGTGTCCAACAGAAGGAAAGAGAATGCGAAGAAGAAAAGGAAGAACCGCCTTAACTCTTTCCAAAAAGACATCAGACGATCGGGCTCCCGTTCGAGGTTCTTTTTCCCGCAATTGCGACCACAACGATCAGGAAAAAAAGAAAACAGAAAGAGAAGATCGACGACATCCAGATCAATCGAGACTAATTAGAAAAAAAAAAAAAAAAAAAAAAGAAAGATCAATCGAGACACAAAATCCACACGATCCGATCGATCGAGACACACGATCTACGAGATCAATCTCAGAGATCGTGGTTGGTGTTTTTTTTTTTTTTTTTTTTTTTTTCGTGGTCGGTGTATTTATATACAGGAAAAAAGAGAAAAACGATTAAAAAATACCGTCAAAAAATTCGAACATCGGTGAACATCAGTGAATTTCGAACATCGATCGGCGAGCATCAGTGCATTTACTATTTACAGGAAAAAAAAAAAAAACTCGCGTACACAACCCGAACACACCCCCTGACACGTCAAAAAATTCGAACATTCGGTGAACATCAGTGAATTTCGAACATCGGCGAGCATCAGTACATTATTTTACTATTTACAGAAGAAAAAGAAAAAAACTCGCGTAAACTACCCGAACACACCCCCTGACACGTTTGCCAACCCCAGGGGCTAGGTCCCACTTACACGAATTAAGAGATTGACCGTGGATAGCACTGATCAACGGTCAGAATCTCTTAATCCGTGCAAGTGGGACCTTGCCCCAGTACTCGCAGCAAAAGACCAAAAAAAGAAAAAACGTAATCGCAGCAAAAAGCCCAAAAAAAGAAAAAACGTAATCGCAGCAAAAAGCCCAAAAAAAAAAAAAACAGAAAGGAGAGGCAACGTTGGAAGAAGGGGAAGAGAGATTAAAAAAAAACGTAAGCGCAGCAAAAAGCAAAAAACCCTTTTTTGTTAATATTTTGTTTTCCAGGAAAGAATAAAAGAAGGGGAAGAGAGAGTCCGGATTCCGCCCTTCCGATCCCGACAGTTCGCTGTCTGAACACTCCCCCCCTGCCCCCCACACACACACACCGCACTCCGCCCGCGCTCGAGCGCGTGCGCGTGAAAGCGCCCGTGTCCGTGCGCATGCGCGGCTTTTTCCTTCGTCACTATCATGCTCACCCACACGAACGACTAGAACTCCTCGTCGGCAAAAAAAAAAAAAAAAAAAAAAAAAACTCCTCGGCTGTTGGTGTTGGTATTACTGTGACTGAGGGCACAGTCACAGTCACACGAGCAGAGCACTACGTTTCTAAATGTATCTGACTGGAATTACGACCACCCTTGGATGCATCTGACCGCAATCACGTCCCAAGGTCAGTCGGAAAACGTCCTCGTGTGCGTTTTTGCCCCTACTTCCGCACATCCCATAGGCCGTCGAGTTGCGCCGAAAGTATTCTGGCTTACCAAAATCTGGGGTCTGGTCCCACCTAAGGTTGTTGAGTTTCAACGGTGTGACGCCATTTCGACATTAATAAATTCGAAACAAGAAATAAAAAAACTGGAAAAAAAGCTAGAAACAGCTTTTCTCTTTATTTTTGATAACGTAAGTCGGAGAAATGAAAATTGTCTGGAACAGTCGGAGTGACCGTCTCCGTGAAAAAGGGCTACTCCCCGTGGTGAGGGGACAGGAGGTCCCCATTCGTAAAATGGACAGGGACAACGTGGATGGCCAAATGCATTCATTGCCCAAAGAAGGAAACGAGTTTCATGCCACAGAGCCAAACACAGCTGTCAGAGTTCCTCCGTTTCAGGATGCAATGATGTCTCAAAAACCGAAAAAAGGAAAGGCACGGCCGTTGAGAAATCTACCCTACCCTCGGTAGGGTAGTTTTCTCAACGCACAATGGTTTCCCGCCCAAACCAAAAGGGCCAAAGCATACTACAAAACGGTTTTCACGTCAAATAAAAATTCTACAAAAAGACAATCTAATAGGTTATTCTCCTGTATTTCGGCACCATCAGATCGCAATACATCATCGGCAGAGCTCCGTCCCACCATGCCGCACGTGATAGAAAGCTCAGCGTTGAGAAAACTCAACGCTGTAGGTGGGACTAGACCCCTGGACACAATAATTAGCGATAATAATAAGTAAATTATCAAAATCTGGACACAATAATTAGCGATAATAACAAGTAAATTGAGTCGAGAACCAACGGACGTAGCTCACAGCTGGCACACACATGATGAACTCTTAAAATACAGTCCCAGGTTCGAATCCAGATATAATCAGATGATGAACAAAATAAGAAATTAAAAAAAATTAAGTCACGATGCCAAATGATAGACCGTTGTCAACCGTTCCAAGTAACCAACGGGACTACCGGTAGCTAAGTTGGTACACCAATCACCTGTTGAAATACAGACCTGAGTTCTAGATGCAACCAAAATAACAAAGGATAATTTTCTTTCTTTTTTTTTTTTAGTTGCAAGCTGCCTTCCCCTCATAGGAGGGGGGCCAGCTGCAGCTGTGCATTTCAATTTTCAACTACTCTATATTCTTCTCTCAATATTTTCCATCTCACACTACCTGCCCTGGGCTGTGTTCTTTCTGGGTCAAGGGTCAGGATAATATTTCTAACATTACCTGGTAGGGCGGGTCAGTTCAATGATGATATTCCAAGACCGTCGCCCTTTCCGGAAAAAAAAAAAAAAAAAAAAAAAGGGTTTCATCTATTTAAATGTAACCACTGCTCTCCAATCTGTGCGAGATCGGTCGCACATCGCACGGCTCTGCAACCAACCTATAGGCAACCTTTGCGACCTGCCTGACACAGTGGAATTTGGTCGGGACGCATATAATATAATACCAGGCAGACTAACTGGCCTACCGTCTTCACCCGAATAGAACGCCCGGTCATTATACATGTATCTCCCAAGACTTTCGGTCCAGATGCAGCAGCGATAATGACCGGGCGTTCATTTCACCCGAAACGCCCGGTCATTATACATGTATTTTCCACGACTTTCGGTCCAGATGCAGCGATAATGACCGGGCGTTCTATTCGGGTGAAGACGGTAGAGCTCAGTTGGTACACCGCTCAACTGTTGAAATACAGACCTCAGTTCGAATCCAGATGATGGAACTAGATGAAGTAAACTCTTGACTTCCCTGACCCGGTCAAGAGCAGGCCGAAGTTAATCGACTGCAATCCTGCTGGGGGAGCAGAGAACCCAAAGGATTCATACGAGGGCCCTTGCAGAGGTCAGTGGCGTCTAAACGAAAAGAAAGAGAAAACAAAAGGCGTCCAAAAGTAAACACAGTTTGACTAAACCGGCGTGGCTATAACCCAAAAAAAAGGGCTCCGTGTTTCTCCGGGCCAAGGTCCCAGTGCATTAACAAACGAGGATCGGATCGAACGCCTGAATCTGGATGTGTTCTATGCAGAGACGCAGAAAAGCAGTTCAATCTCGATTTCCTGCACCTCTCCATAAACTCGTCCAGATTCAGGCATTCGATCCGATCCTCTTTGCTAGTGGGACCACGGGCCCGGAAAAAAGAAAGAAAGGTCCGCGACTATTATTATTTGTATATTACAGTATCTACCTAATAAAGGATTCCAAATCAAAATCTTGGAAAAAAAAAAAAAGAAAAAAGAAAGTCCATGCACTGTAATGATGCACGTATCCGGGGGGGAAAAAAAAAAACAAGAAAGGGAAGAAGGAATAGGAGCGAGGGAAGAGAAAGCAACGCCTCCTCCCCTACTCCATCCTCCCTCCGCGATCCCTGCAACAGACAGAGAAAAAGGGACACAAGGAAGAGCGCGGGTCTGCACTCGTGCAGAGCCATTCGTGCCCGTTTGCTCGCGTGATGCCACGTGGCAAACGTCGCGCACAATCACTGGACACCAACAACGACAGCGACATCGCGACTTGCACAACTCCACCGCGATCCCTACCTCTCCTTGCCCATTCATTTGAAATTACTTCCTCTCCTTTTTTCGTTCACTTTCTTTTCTCAGACCCCTTACTCAAGGCCTCTCAGTCCTATTTCAATCAAACGGACATACAGAACGACCGAGCCCAAGGGCGAGAGAACCAACTGTACAAATACTGCAGTCGATTATCGAGTCCTTCCCCCCCCCCCTCCTTCCACCCCCCCCACCTTCCTCCAGCTTTCTTCTTGATTATGCACAATATGACTACCACTCTCTCCACTACGGGGGCTCGCAATCTGAAAAAATGAACCCATAATCACCTGATTATAATTAGAATCATCATCATCATTACCCCCATCATCATCATCATCACCATCATCATCATCATCATCATTACGATCATCAAGATCATCATTCCCATCATCATCATCTCCAGATCTGCACCGATCAAGCTACTCCCGGTACCCAGTCAGTAGATCGCGATCCCTCCCATTCACTAATGACCAACCGTCGGGATTGCCCTTCGCACAACATTCCCTCGTCGTCATTCATCATCATCATCATCATCATCATCGTCGTCGTCGTTGTGTTAATTACCATATCAACACAAATATCATATGAACAGCACGGACATCAACATGGCGATCATGACGATAATTACGACTACCCCGGGGAATTCTGTTTGCCCCTACTCTCTCTCTCTCTCTCTCTCTCTCTCTCTCTCACACACACACACACACACACACACACACAAACACACAAAAACACACACCGGGGAAGATCAGCAATTAATGCTTCCTCCTCCTGTCCAACGTCCAGCGTGTGCGAGCCGGGCGCACCACCTCCTCCCTCTTCTCTCTGACTGTCGACCACTTCTTGCCTCTCGCCGACTGTCACTGGTGTTGTGCGTAATACAGTAAGGATGATATCCCCCTCCTTTCTCCCCCGCCCCTCTCCCCAGACTAGCCGCCGTCATAACCAGATGAAGGAAATATATTGGGAAAGGGAAGGAGGAGGAGGAACAGGAGGATCAGCAGGAGGAAGAGGAGGAGGAGGGGGAGGAGGATGACAAGGAGAAGGGAGGGATTTTCGCGTTCTAAAAGACGGGAAAGGATTGAACAAACAAACAAAGTAAAAGAGGAAAACGCAAGGATGGATAGATACCCAGGGTAAATTGACTGAAGCTGTAATGACAGGGATCTCATGTCCTCGAGAAAAAGAAACAGAATTATTTGGACAACGAGTAGTGGAAGGACAGTAAGAGACACACTCAGAATATCCTCCGCACATTCTCGTAAACGAAATCAAGATAATGTTTCGCATTTTTTACCACAACAATCCTTTAATTCCACCAACAATTGTGTATATAACAAACCAAACCCATCCAATGAAAATCCAGGCAGTCCACGACACTACCCCTCAAATTAGAGTGATGATGTTGTTGCTGTAATCAAATGTCCCACCGATTTGATTCATTCATGATTGATTGATTGATTGATCGATTGATTGATTGATTGATTGATCGATCGATCACTTGATCAATTTGCTTGATCATCGATTGCTTGAATCGACTAAGCTACGGCCAATCAATCAATTAATCAATCAATGAATCAATCAACGAATCAATCAACCAAGCTACGGCCAATCAATCAATTAATCAATCAATGANTCAATCAATGAATCAATCAACGAATCAATCAACCAAGCTACGGCCAATCAATCAATTAATCAATCAATGAATCAATCAACGAATCAATCAACCAACCAATCCACTCCTTTAATAGATGCTGTCCATCTCCATCATCCTGTTGAATTCCAGGTAATCGACGACGACCTTGTCCCCGTTCAATCCACCGTTTGTATCATTTTCAACGCCAACTTGGCTGTGACCAATGAATCAAGAAATGAATGAATGAATCAATCAATCAATCAAAGGAATCAGCCACTCAATCCATTGCTTAAGCTGATGTCAATCTCCATCATCTTCTTGAATTCTTCAAAATCGACCACTCCATCCCCATTCGAATCCACCTTTCTAATCATTTCCTCCACTTCTTCGATGGTGATGCTACAGTTGTAATCAAGTCTGTGAAGAACATCGTACAATTCTTGCACCGATATCACTCCATTCTTGTCCTGATCGAAGATTCCAAACGCCGCCCGCAGCTCTCTCTCTCTCTGTCTTGCATCCACGGTGTTCAGCGACACGAACTCGTCCCAATCAATCACTCCATCGCCGTTCTTGTCCACTTCCTGAATCATAAACGCCAGATCTTCGTCCGTCGCTTCATCTCCCAGAGACCTCAGCATTTCCCCGAGTTCCGTCGGGGTGATAAATCCGTCGTGATCCTTATCGAACTTATCAAAAGCGGCCCTTAGCTCCCTCATGCGGGCGTCCTCGGCAAGCTCCTCAGAGGATGGACACCTATCAGAAGAAGTTATAGCTCGACCACTACTGCTTCCGTAATTGGCCAAAAGCCGAGGGCGGGGGAAGGAGCCGGGGAGGAGATGATGATTACCGCCACCGCCGCCGCCACTAGCTGTTACCGCGATATCCCCACCTGGCCTCCTTTCAACCGTGTCGATTGTCAACGACTCCCCCCGCGCAAACTGAGGGGCAGCGGAAGGGGGGGACGTGCCAGCAACAGCAGCATCAGACTCCCCGGCTCCGTGAGAGGTCCTCCTATCAGGCGAGGCAAACCGAGCTGGGGAAGCAGCCAGTCTCTCCACAGGCTCCGCCGCGATCCCAGGCTGATGCCGTTGCTGCTGCGGCGGCAGCAGCTTTTGCTGCTCCTGCTGCTGCCGCTCCTGCTTCCGTTCCCTCCCTCTCCCATCCACCTTCGATCGCGGTCCGGATCCGGCTGTCCCCGTCATCGGAGGCGCCACGACGACGTCGCCTTTCTTCTCGCTGTTTGCCCTTCCCCCCCCCGACGTCTTCCCGCCGCTAATGTTCCCCCCGGGACCGTATTTCGACCACCAGGCATTGCCAAATTTAATCACCCTCTTCGACCAGCCACCACCAGAGTGCTCCTTGGTGGTCGCTGCTGGTGGTTGTGAAGGACTGGTCGTCGTCGTGGACCCCCTTCTCGGCCGCGAAGGAGGAGCTTTGGGCGACTGCAGAACTATTAGCTCATCGGGCCGATCCGGCTGATGGGTCCGATCGGGGGACGACAACGGAGTCTCCGCCATCTCAGCCGGCGGAGTCGGGGTGGAGGTGGCGGGCGCCCAAATCCGACCACGGGCCGTCGCAGGCGATGTCTGACCTGGTATGGTCTCTCCGGCGGACATAATTCTTATTTGCACCGTCGATCTCGCATGGCTACCAGGAGAACGTGGCGATGGCTGCTCACGCCCCTGTCCCCGCCCGTCCGTAATCGACGACCACCTTTCGTCCATCATCCTCACCGGCCGAAACAGAGAAAGCGAATCCAGCCTGACAAACCAACCACCTACCCAACGATCACACAAATCAACCCCTTCCCTCGCGCGCTGGCTTGCGAGACCTTCACTCCTGCTGCCCACCTACCTACCTACCTACCTACCTACCTACTAATCATACTACTCTACCTCTACCCCTGCTCGGATTGATCGGGGTTGTATTTCCCGCTGTCGATCCTCAGCGCGTACTCACACTACCGAAGCACTTTTCAGAATGCATATCCGACTGCAATTACGGTGAGACCAGGATGGATGAATCTGACTGACGGTAAGACCAGGATGGATGAATCTGACTGCAATCACGTCCAGAGCTTTGTGGGAAAAGTCATCGTGCGAGTACGCCGTCAGAGGTTCTTCCGATGGCCGCCACGATCGCTCCAAGAACCGAACAATACACATCGCCCGGTTCCCTTCTTCCCCCGGCCGATCCTTCGACGATCTTCACAGTAAAAAGCAAACACCCTTCAGAATCCCGGATAATAAAAAACCCCTTTCTCTGGAAAAGATCCGCTTTACCATGAGAGTTAGATGCCCGTGCTTGCAGGCGTCCCCGGTATACCCTTTAGGAGTAGCGGTAGGTAGGCGCAGAAAGGTGAATTTGAGAGAATTTGCAAAAGGGCGGATGGGGGTGATCAGTATCCACACACAAGACCTGCTCGACAGACGACGATGAGGGTGATCAGCGCGCTGCTTCTATCGCATGAATGAAAAGGACAGGATGCAGGCAGGGATGAATCCACGACACTACTTTAGTACTACCACGTCTCTAACTTGACGCTCCACAGGACAGGACGAGTCCCGCGCAAGACAATGAATGACCACTCTCACTGCTTGCCGCCTCCGTCCCTTCACAATCCCTGCGCAGATGCGCACAGGAAAGGCCCGCCCGCCTAGGGTAGTTCCGGACTCCGGGGGCGTGCTCAGCAGAGGGTACTACCAGTAGGATGAGAACGGCCCCGCCTATTTCCAAAAGTCGATTTACTTCGCGTTCAACTTGCCGCCTTCCTTACTGACGTTGTCTGCACAAACTGACTCGCGTCAACATAAGAAAAAAACGGCGCCATTTGTAGCCCACCCCGCCCCTTATCAATAGAACCGGAACAGCGGACCTCGCCCAAATCTAAATCTGTCCATGCGAGCCGTCATTGTCATTTTAGCGGTCCAGTTCTGCAGGAAGAAAAAGTTTCGATCCCTTCGCCTGTGTGGGGTCGCTACCGGCAGTACACGCTGAGACTGAGCACACACCTATCCCGCCCAACTCTGTGCGCGTGTGTGTTGTGTGTGTTGTGTGTGCGCGTGTGTGTGTTGTGTGTGTGCGTGTGCGTGCCTGTGCGTGTGCGTGCGTGTGTGCGTGTGTGTGTGTGTGTGTGTGTGTGTGAGAGAGAGAAAGGTGACGTAGAAGCGGAAGGGAAAGAGCAGACGCGTCCGCCCGCTATGGTGTCTCGAGTCGATCTAGTGGCGGTGTTATGGAATTTAAGACTGTTGCGCCGGTTCCGGCGTGCTGCGATTTTCATGGCGCCCGGCCGATCCCTCTTATTACCTCGCCACATGCACAAAGACAGAAAAATGGCCGTGTATCTATGCCCCGAGTTTCTTTCCAAGAAAACGAAAAGAAAAAAAGAAAAAAAACATGAATGAAGGTGCCAGGAACCTTCCGCATGAAAGAAAAAAAAGAAAAAAAGAAAAAAAAACAGAACCTTCGGCAGACAAAAACCAGAAAGCTCATCTGGCCTACGTAACGATGGAGATCGAGAGTTCGAATCCGAATGGACCCGAGATGCAATCCTGCACTGATTTTGACTTTGCGGGCTTTGTCCGGCGTTCGACAATGAGCCCACGCGGAAGGCGCCTACCGAGCGAGATATGCACGGCTTCTGGCGCGTGCGCCCTGTTTTTAGTCTGAAAAAGAAACCAGCTCGAGACGGAGATCTGCCATGGATCCTTGGAGGCGTACGTGGAAGTCACCTGGCAGGTGAGTTGCCCTTGTTCCGCAGGGGCCATGCTACGCTTCTTCCCCCGAATACAACGTACGGTGATCATAGCTGTATCTAGACAGAAAGATGCCTAAACTACAGCGATAATGACCGTACGTTGTATTCGGGGGAACAAGGTAGTCTTTCTTCTCTGTATCGTTCGAATTTCAACGGAAGCTGGAAGAGGATCGCGGGGCCCCACTCAAAAAAAAAAAAAAAAAAAAAAGGATCGCGGGGCCTCGGGCCGCGGCAAACAAGAGGAAAGACCACTTGACTGGATTCTTTTTTTTTTTCTTTTTTTTTTTTTTCCCTTTCTTACCTGACTGATTGGACGAGTGCGTTACGAGCTGCAGCGGCCCACCATCAGGCAGCGGATAAGAGCCCACGGCAGATGGGGGGAGCCGCTCTCAAGTGTTTTTTTCTATTTTTATTTTTCAATCAAATCGAGGCCGGTGACCTCGCCAATCACTCTGGCAGCACCAGCCAGTTATGGCGCACCAGCCAGTTATGGCTTACGAGCCTTGCTCGCCTCATACACCCTACCCAAATAGCCCAGGAGTGAGGACGATCCAGGCACAGAAATAGCCAATTCTGCTGTCCTAAAACCCCACTCCAGAACAAGAACAAAGGCCTCTTTCAACAAGGGAAAAAAAAAGGAATAGGAAATTACTCGCTACGGGGCGGAGGCTGCTCTAGCGGTGCGTTCCGACGTTCGGGCCGAAGGGGCAATAGCGTAGGACCCGGTGTGAGTCCAGCGGCGCCTGCTATCTTCATTCCCCTGTATGCTCCTACCTTCTTCCCCCGAATACAACGTACGGGCATTATAGCTGTATCTAGACTGAAAGATGCCATAAATACAGCTATAATGACCATACGTTGTATTCAGGGGAAGAAGGTAGGGATCCAGATACGCCATGCTCGGTACTTTCGAGAGCACCCTGTGACGCCCAACCTCACGCCCGGCGCGACTTCCTGATCGGAGTGTGAGTGGGCCTGGAAGTGCGAAAAGGGGGTGTGTGACGCTCAACCTCAGGCCCTGCGCTACCTTCCGGTCGGAGCGTTGCGGTTCGCGGAAGGGGCCCGGGAAAGGCAGCGATGATGGGGTGTGCCAAGGATTTTTGGAAATGTGAGTGCGGGGACATAGACGGAACTGAAATCCCCCGTGTTGGTCCGACTGTAGTAAGAAGAAGATCCGTGGCCGCGCGGGTTTTAAGGGAGAAAAAGGCACGAGCGGGACTCGCAGCTATGGGAAATTCAATCCAAAAAGTATCGTCGCCCTTCATTTTGCGTGACGGGTACACACATGGTATCTCGTTTTCGGATGAGGTCGCGTTGGCGCTCGCTACACAACTCCGAGTCCAACGTGGAGGGACTCAACCGAGTGGCCTTTTCCTTATGTTTGTCCTCGCTGTGTGTGCGATAGTGAATTCCCTTGGTCTGATAACACTCGAGGCAACAACAATCGCTGCACAAAGTGTTAGGCCAATGAGGCTCCACTGCCGCCCACGAGACAACGATCAGTTCGTTAAAAGGCAATAACAACGAATATGGTGGAAAGTGTGTATCGATGATAACAAAACCCGCACCAACATTCCAGAGCACCGAGTTTCGGGAGGAAAGTAGTAACGCCCTCCGACCTTGGCGACGACTTCTCGTACGTCCCACTCGCGTACACGTGTCCTTTCCTCGTTGTACGGGAAGGGGCGCGGCGGGTGCACGGGAAGTTGGCGCCCAGTCGGGTTGGGGCCGTCAGTCCACATGGCAACAAAGGTAAGCACAGATCTTAATCATACATCATCCGTTTGTCAGTCCAGGCAACCCGATCATTCAGTCGCTCAGCCAATCATCCTTTCAATCATGCTACAACAAAACCTCCAATCACGGCTCACTGCATGCACATATCGAAGCGAGAGAAACAAGGTTACCATAATTCATCCGTTGTGACATGTCGCAACCGGAGAAGGGAGAGTAGGGACACAGACTAGGAGGGAGAAATTAGTAAAAAGCAATCACAGAGTGTCAGACGATCTTGCCCAGAGATGTCATGGCTTAAAAGTCGAGCGATCAAAAACTCACATTCGAAGATACAAACTTTGGAGTAGAAAGGAGAGAAACCACTGCAGTCACCCGCTCGTCGAGACTTTTCGACTCGCACCTTCCTTCATACCATCTAGCCACGACTTCCCGGAATCGGGCTGATGAGTCGAGGGAGAGATTTTCGGGAGCGCTTGCGGAATTTATAGCTGCGGAAAGAAGGATAGATTCTAGGAAGGGTTATGACTGAAACAGGGAGAAGTAGGAGAAGACTCAGGGATTGCCCGTCGAAAGTCATGTCGAGCCTTTGGATCCCAGCTGCAGGCAATCAGAATCGTCGTGTATCATGAATTTTCCTCTTACACGGCGTGTCTCTTTGGCTAGAGGGAGTGATAGGGGGTCGACTGGGTGTTTCAGCGAGAGGGATCAGAGCGGGAAGAAGAAGAGAGCGAAGAATAGTGTGAAACGGAACCAAAATTCACACGATCAAGAATGAGAGAAAAGGTGCGCAAGGCGATGGGGAGATGGAAAACGGTTACAGAGAGAGGATGAGTATGAGCGCGAGGAAGGGAGTGTCGAGGACAGCGGGGGAAGCGGGGAGGGGAGGCTCGCATGCATGGCGCTGTCACGAAGGCAAAAAGGCACCGAAAGAGTTACGGCTAATTCAAATTTAAAAATACCATATCCGCATGGCAAAACGGGCGTGTGGAAAAGTTATATGCCTATTCACATTTCTGCGAAAATTCCCAAAGCTTTCCAAGACGAAGTTGCGAATATTCATGCACAAGAAAGGACACGTCGGATCCTGCTTATTCCTAAATTCCTAACCGTCGACCCAAATTCCTTGCGGGCTTGCGCGTAATTCCCAGATAATTCTGAATTTGCAAACAAAAAAGACAAATTTTCAAAAATTGATCCGAGGGCATTGCATATTACATTCATGAAAATACAAAAAAAAAAAGGCCTCGTCGGATGGTCATCCAAAATTCGACAAAAAAACAGAGAAACAGGGAGGGGGAGGGGGAAGATAGCTCAGGTCCGGAAGTTGGTGCGTTACATATGTTACGCTCAGGGGGTTCCAAAATTATGTGATCTCCTGATTGCATGCACGAAAGCCAATTTACACGTCGGAGGAGGGAGAAAGGGGTCGAAGGGATGAACGAGGAACCGAGCGTATCAGAACAGACGGGATTTCGTATCAGCACCAGATCGGGCCAGACTCGGAATCCCTTGTTGACGCCAACTTCAATTGCAGGATCGTTACGATTCGTGTTGGCTTGCAGATTCTCTACCATCCAACCCTGTCATGTATAACTCCTTGCTTCTTCGATTGGCGGAGGTCGTCCAAGTGACGCCATCATGGTCCGTCAAATCTTGCTTGGTTCTGCTTCATCATTGGAAATCCGACCGACGATAGTCGATGAGGAGAGGGTGATGGAGTGGTCTGGGTCATTCATTTGGGAGAGGAGGAAAGAAATCGGAGGCTTCATCACCGAGATCGACAAAGTGGACGAAGCGGTGCGCTTGGGGGAATCGATGGTTGGGTTGAGAGAGGGAGAGAAGATAGTCGGGGTATAGGGTTGGCATAGTCCGAAGGATATTATCGCGTAGAGATTCATAGTCCTCTACTGCGGGGAAAATCCCGGAGACGATGCAATACAACTCCATATGGTTGTATTGCCTCCATGCGACACTGAAAAGGAGGATGTTGAGAGGGAAGGAGGGGGAGCGGTGCGGAAAGACTGTGCACAGGAGTCGCACTTCGAAGTGGTGGCAAAAGAGGTGGTTGGCGAATATGCGATATGTTAGGGGGAATTCGCTATGGGGGAGAGGAGAAAAGGAAAGATAATCAAGAGGGTGGCAGTAGATGGGACAAGGACGGAGCCCCCGTGCTAGGAGAAGGATGGGGACAAAGCGAGAGCGGCGGCGCCGGCAGGAGGATTCCGCCCCATCGTGATGGCTGGAGGCATCGGAGGGGACTTCGGGGTTTCGGCAGATCCTCCTCGTGCGGCAGGTGGCGCTTGGGCCGGAGGAGCCTCCTGGGGCTCGGGTGTCGATGCCTCCTCTTCTTTCTTCGTCGTTGATCGGGCCTCCGACTCCCTCCATCTACCTGCCCTAACGGCCTTAAGGGCCTGCCATAACACCAACACAGGCAAAAGGTACCAATCGGTCATCCCCCTAAACTTCTCCAACATCGGGATGGTGGGGCAACATCTCGTTGAACCTACCAACGAGCTACCCCAGGGAGTTCAAGCTTACCGCAGAGACTTGAGTCCACCGCTTCACAGGGCAGATGAAAGTAGACAGAGGAGACCATGCATCCTATGCCGTCATCTCCAGCCGCTCTCCTTGTGGCACCTTAATCAGCAAACACGTGCAGAAAGGGAAAGAAAGGATGTCGAAAGGAGAAGGGTCCACAC